CTTGCGACGTCCTCAGACGAGGGAAAAGACAAGGATTCCGGAGCTTCCATTGACCCAAATCACTCCAAAGCCAGGCGATTGTGTCCCGCCACACGCAACCAAAACTTGACACCATTTACTGCGTACAGCGGGCAATGGCGAACTGGATGCTATTTACGCCAGTAGTCTCGCCTAGCCACCCTGAAAGTGGTTTATAAGCCCTGCAAGTACCGCGCTAGCAATCAAACCAGGGGTGAATTGTATAGGACCAGACAACATGCTATAATAAGCATTTGGGTGGTGCCCTTGAGAAGGTTTGACCCCTGAAAAGACGATCTCAACTCCTGACTTTCACACACGAGGCTCGGGCCGTGAAGCAGGGCTTTTGTAGGCCGAGCACTAGAAGGCGAAGAGGAATCGAAATCTGGTCTTGTCTCGATGTTTGTTTTCAGGGGACTCTGCCGCTGAAGAAAGGGGGAAGTCTCCGTGCCTCGGTGTCTGTGCCTTTTGTCGAGTCGACAAATCAACAGTCGGACAAGGTGTCAAGAATGGGCGAAGGGCCACACAGTGGGCAGGTCAGTAAAGAGAAACAGGGTCCCCGCCGATCATGACATAATAATCAGGCGTGAAGACGGGAAAGAAAATCCCAGTGGGGTGGGACCAATACAGAGGTTGAACCAGTGAGGTTCATGAGTCGGTGTCGGCAGCCACCCCATTTGACTTTTCCCCCGAGAGATTTTGGAGGGGTTCTGGCGCCGAGTTACACAGTACGTATCTGCGTTTCGACTTGCATTTTGGCTGCCAGATCTTTCGAATGCTGCAATTTCGACTGAGGTTGGAGCAACCCAAGAGCAAGCAATTCGTGAGGTGCGGACCGGTAGCATGCCTTCTCTTTATGTCTTTGTATTGCCTGGCTCATATGGCTCTTTTGTCGTTCCTTGTAGTTCGTTTCTTCGAAGCAAGCAGGCTTATTCCGGTGTATCGACTCGGGGTCTGTTGGCGGTCGGACGTGATCGGACGTGGGAAGATAAGGAAGAGCCTGAAGCTGTCAGTCGAGCCATTGAGAAAACAGAAGACATGGACAAGCCGGCGGTGGAAGAAAGGGCGCTGATTTTAATGTTCCCGAGCCTTATCGCGTGGTTTGGGGTTCGGGCTCACGGGAAGATGGCCTGGTGAACTAACCGCCTTAAGAGTAGTTCAAGGGAGTTTTATCTCCATTGGCAGCACTTTGCGCAAACCACAAGGGCAGGTGGCCTGCAGAATCTGCGCTTTGCTGATATCTTGATTATTTTGTTTGATTGGGTGTAACACCGTGCCATGTCGTTATGTGATGCACTACTACTACCCGTAAGTTTAGGGTAGACAGTTCTCCGGGAAGCCCGTAACGAAAAACAAGATACATGTACCTACTTACTACCTACAAGAGGCTGCTGCAGAGCACCGAGGGTTTGTTGTACCTGTGTATATAATCGCGGACCGGGCCTGAGAGAAAACGCAGTGTAAGAGTGACACCGAGATAGGAAAGGACAAGGGACGGGCGGGGTCGAGGGAGAGGTCCGGATGATGGTTGGACGGACGGATATCAAACAGTGCAGCCATTTCATCATTGTGTGACCTGAGAAGGGGACAAAGCGGAACGTACAGTAAAAAGATGCCCTGTAAATACATACCTCTACGTACACTACCAGACCCAACAAATCCAAACCTCAGCACGTAGGCACAAATTAGCCCCTTACCTACTGTAAGCGTAAACGGGCACCTGGGACTTGGGCAAGGGAATCTGGTGCCCGGATTCGCAATTCTGTGATTCAGTGCAGGACTACTAATGGAATGTAAAAACCTATCAAGTGCAAAGACTATGACACTTTGCCCCATAATGCCCGAAATCTTTGCAATTATCTACAGGGCATATTATCTGTACACATCAGGTTCGTTGAAAGACTCCGATTGCCGCTGTTCGTTGCGACCCGTTCAGTCACAGCACCAGGCAACCAGGCCACTGTTGTGAGTGCCCGTTAAGTAGGTACTTCGTTAGTGAGTCTGACGCTGAGAAAATCCGTCGATTGCGGAGAAAAAACGAGCCAATCAAATTGGCACACTGTGGCGTCACCGATGCCGATCGGCAATCTGAGAAGCAGTGACCCAGTGCTCGTGTCAGTCGGAGGTCCCATTTTATTGGGAAGCCTAACCAGAAAGATGAGTGAACGACGACGACGCGACTTGCCGCTTGTGCCAATTTTGTTTCGGTTTCAACTTCTCCATCATTCGTTCTTTTTCACTATCCCAGCTTCCCCACCACGGGGCCGCCTGAGGTTTTCGAGCATGCAACCCAGATGTACACTAGTACCAGACCAGCTTCTTGTGAGACCCACACGTCCCTCCCTCATGGAGCCGAGATGTGGCTGCCGCCGCCGCTACCACCTGTTTGATACCTCGTGTACTGTACTGTGTAGGTACGCAATGACCATTACCTTTGCCTCTGTACCTGACTCCTGCGAGTGCCTCATCAACGCCGTTGCCGTAAGGGCATAATGAACATGTCATGGGATGATGCGAAATGCCAAATCGATCAGTTAATTCGATCCGATACTATCCCTGCATTGCCACTGCAAGAGTGCCTTTGGTTGCGCCCTCTCCCATCAGCTCGATCGGTACTTATCTGCTTGGACATCCGCCGCCAGGTCCAAATTGGTTGACAATGCATTCTGGAAGGTCTCCATGGAAGGAGTGACACTCCCTCCGTCACAAGACTATCGTAACTCCCCTTTTCGGAAAGCACCTCGCTCAACACTCCGGGCTCAGGGATTGGTGAAGGCGGGCCCTGCAACCAGGTGGGGACGGACGCTCAAAAGGGAAGGGGCGTGGAAGTCGGCCCAGAGGGGAAATGAGAAACAAATTTTGCAAAGTCGAAAGAGAAGGAAGGTCCTTGTGGTCCCGTCCAAGCCACGGCATCGTTGCGCCCAGGGGCCCGGGCTCCCCTCTTCCCAGGGCTCCCACGTTTACGTTCCACGTCCCTCCTCTTCCCTCACTTCGAACTTGGGAGGGGACAGCCCGGTGCCCACCGGGACAGCAAGCAGCCTCTGCCCGCTGGCTGGCACACGTTCCCTTGGCGACCACCACAATCACAAAACCCAAAATATCTGCACCTAAATCTCAGCCTCCCCACTGATGCGGTTCCCATAATTGATTGCTGCCTCTTCACCACCATTGCTTCATTCTCTTCTGTGGAACGGTGCAGAAGAAATAACCCTTTTTGTTTTCCATTTGCCAAAGTAGCAGTATACGAGTCGCCGCCTGTCGTCCTGCTCTACAGTGTCGGAGAGACCCCCAACTCGCTCGCTCGCGTACACGTAAAACACGCCGCATCTCCCCGTCTTTCACTTCCTCGGTTCAGCGCCCCAGGTTTTCTAAAGAAATAGACGACGCCGCACAGTGGGAGCACAGGCGCCCGGAAACAAAAACGCAAAGGAAAGGCGAGAAGGAAAAAGGTATGTTGGCGTACACTACCTATTTGCGTTGTGGTGCACCAGTGTCGCGGTGTGAGAGGGCTTGCCGCAGGCTTGCGGTGGTCGCTGCCAATCCTTTTATTTTATTTTTTTTGCTTGCCGTCGGGCTTGGCCCAGGGGGGGGGGGGGGCGCATCGTCAACCACAAAACTGCCATTCGATCTCTGAAATGCTGTGGTTTTTCCATCACTCCCTCCGGTCTCCGATCGACGAGCGGCTTGCCCCAGCGACCTAGCTGCCACAACACAGCTTCTCCAGTCGCTCTTGTGACCACACCGAACAGCAGCCCTTTGCAGCCAGTCAAAAAGCTCTCCCAAAGTTGGCAAGGCACAGCTCGCTGATCGCGGCAGAAAAACAGGTCCAAGGCCGTCTCCTGACCAGCCCCCGTCGACCACCCAGCAAGGGGTCCACTCGCCGCCTCCATTCCTCCTTTTGCTCCGTCTTTTCGCTGTCCACCTCACTCTCCAGACCCTCTGGCCTTTCAGGTCTGCATTTCGTCCCAGTCTGCGAATTTGAACCTGTTCAGTTCTTGTTCTGCCACCAAACCCACCAATTCCAGGGTTATCCCATCGACCCATCCCAGCATCCTGCCAGCATAATTTCGGACAACCGCAGAGAAGGGCAAAGAAGGTCAAAACCAAGCACCACGCGAGCCTCAGTCCAGGGTCCCAGCTCAGAAACACAAGAGCCTTCACATCACCGCGTAGCAGTCGGTGCTCGCTATCTCAAGGGTTGGTACACCATCTTCAAGTCTTTCAACCTGTCATATTATCCCGCACACCCACCAACCTACCCACCAGCTGGCAACCTCTTTGCCTGCCCATACCATATTTCGTCTTTCATTGCGCGAACGTAGCACTGCACTGCACTGCACCGCGACCCTCTCAGGCCCGGCGCTCACACTACGCCTTCTCTAGCTTCCTCGTCTACACCTCTCCGCAAACGTCTTGGCCAAAACAAACGACTAGGGTCTTTTTCATCACTACACCACTTCCCCCGACTTTTGCCTATTACCTATACAGAAAAAAAAGTAGAGGGTAGGGTACGTTTCGATATCCTGACGTCGTCGGTTCTGCTTCGGCCTAGCCCGTCCTCTGCAAAAGGCAACCCTCGACCACTTAGCCCACGGGCCCACGACCCACGTTTTAGCTTCCTCGCTGCTGCCCCGTGCAGCCTTTTCCAGTTTCCCCCCTCCCCCCTTTTTTGGGTGCCTACGATCGCTTGCTCGCTCGGAAAAAAAGCGCCTTTGCCCCTTGAACACTCTATCTTTGCGACACCATTCGCATCCACAACAGTCCATTTTGGCTAGGACACACGGGACGACACGTTGGTGGCAAAAAAATAAAAAGAAAAATAGATACCGCCTTACCAAGAGGACGGACGCAAGAGGGAATCGCTCCACAGGCGGACACTTTCGTCCCATCCATACCGACACACCTCTCCTGTGACCCTTTCCGGTCGCAGCGATATCACGACTATATCAGGACTATTGCCCGCCGTGGACTCGTAATTGACAATGATGGAGGACAATCACATGGGCAAGGTCTCCGGCATGGAGTGGTCAGATTCATCATCCGGGGCGTCCGACGATCAGCAACATGACCAGCAAGAGCAGCCAGTCATCCATGCTCCAGTCCCGGTACGACCACGATTGCCGAGCCGAAAGAGCAGTGGGACCATGATCGTACCGCGCGACTCTATTGAGGTTGGCCCGGTCGAGATGACGCTTGGGCCTGACGACGTGAGGGCCATGAGCCCGAGGAGAACGAGCCAGGACCTCGAAATGCTGAGCAAGGAAGCAAGAGAAGAGTTGCAAAGGTGAGTTCTTCCTGCCAATGACCGCTGCCGATGACGGCGCTCTCACAGTCATGGATGGTAGGTATGCTAACTGTGAATGACAGGCACGCCAAGGCGCTTCAGGACTCGCTGTTGGCCCTCTTCCACCGTATCGAGGCTGTCAAAGAGGAACACAACAAGCTCGACAACAATAACAAGTTTCTGCAAAAGTACATTGGCGATCTTATGAGCACTAGCAAGATCACAGCGCCCAGCAGCCGACCCAAGAAATGAAAGACGTCGAGCATCTTTACCTACGTTTGTTTAGCTGGGATGACGAACAATGTTCGACACGAAGCACATGGCTTCCTTAAAAAGAACGGACCTAATTCAGGCTATGATGCCTTACGACATGATCCGACTCGAATTTGCCAGCAGGGGGGCTATATGGAAAAGCGGCGAGCGTTTATACCGACTTGGTGGATCTCAACAACGCGGAATCTTTTGGGCATTTTCTCGGAGTGTATCTTCAGAAAGAGACGGTTCCGTTGTGCCTGCATAAGCACTCGATTCAAGACGGCACGCGTCGGTTCTTTCCCGACTCGGGTTTTTTTTCTCCGACGACGCAAACGGCTCAGGGTCTGGATGACGTCTGCACGGCTTTGACCGTGGAGCATTCGGATCCCACGCATTATCCGTTATTTCAACCATTGGCGTCTACCATGGGTTTTGGGTTCTTTTCAACTTCTCTTTCTTTGTTGTTTTGCGAGTCGCCTTTGCCTCACATGGGTTAAGAGTTTGATACCATTTATACGCGACTCGCTCTGGGGTGGCATGGAAAATATTATTGGGGAATTATGCACTATACATTGGCCAAGGCAACGACCACTTGGCCGACGAGCTTGTTTACTGGACATGGACTTGGGGAAGCATTACACTATGGCGTTGTCCGGAGTCTCGTCTGTCTATTTTGGGCCAAGTTGGCTTGTTATCATTACGAAGTGGAAGAGGAAGAGAGGGGGGTTGTGTAAATAGGAAACTTCCGTTTGTTCAAGAATACCGACACAATCAAACTCGAAGCCAGTGTCCATGCAAGGTCAATTATCGGAACTCGAAAGGAAGGGTTAGCTTCTTACCTGGATGAGAAGCCTTAATCATGTTATGAGGCGCAGGTCTTCGGGTGTTCGATAAGACGGTCGTAGCGCCAGGGTAAGATTTCTTTGCAATGATAAGCTTGCGCCGCTCGACGTTGATTTCAAGATGAAAAGACTATTTTAATAAAAGAGGAATCATGGTGACAAGAAGCCAGCCGTTGGCATAGATAGACGGTTTGGGTTATTACGGACCAGGCATTGTGCCACGACATGGACAAGATTTTTGTGTTTTTCAGGGTCCTGTTTATCTTCCAGTTCTTGGTCAGGCCGGACACGGACATGGACACATTTGCGCAACTTGACCCTGATCTTCGCGGTTGCACTGTGCTTGCGAAGCTTTTGTCGCACGCTCACCCACTTTCAACGAGTTGCCGGCCAAGCGGTTCGGTTTGTTCGAATTTGGAAAGCCGAGCGACAGAAGGGAGGACCCGCAAAACGGGCGCAACCCAACTGTCGTGAGCGCCCGTCCAGTGAGGACTCCTCATCTGATCCATCCGATTTCACGCGGGATTCCAGGGGCCCAATTCAACTCCCACCGAACCCTTGTTTGCTGTTTTTGTTCTGCGCCTTCCACCTTCCGCCCTCCGCTCGTCGCTTGTCGCGCATTGCCGGCCGGATGGCCTTGGTGCCCCTTTGTTTTCGTTGTTTGTTATTGTTTTGTTTTGTTGGCCGGCAAGAAAAAAAGGAAGTGGATGATGGTGATGATTTTAGAGCTCTCCCCGCCTCCGGCTTTTTCCCAATTCGTGTTCTTCGTCACTGTCGGATGGAGGGGAAGCTCACAAATAGGCATTAAAAATTTGTTCACATTTTGCATATGTGGAAACTCGTCCAAAAATGACCTTGACGATCCGACGGGCGGTGTTCGGCGTCTTTTGCAGCATGGCTGCACAGGAAACCATCCTGCAATCATACTCCACCCACTGGCCTGACAACGACATGAATGCATTCCCGCCCGAGGGCTGGCTGGTGCCTGCCACTACACCCGCCGGCGGGCACCCAGCCATTCAACCACCAGGGATTGATGCTGCAACACCGTATTGCAAACATTGCAAACACAGTGAGTAAAAGACAAATAAGTCAGCAGCCAACCGGCACTGCACGCGGCCTGCAGGCTTTATCATGGATCAGGATGCACGCAGGGTTTGGCTTGGCCAGGAAAGCAAATAAGGGGAAAGACAATGACGTCTTGTGCCCTATAGGGAAATGAACAGCGTCATTTTGTCAACCTAGCAAAGTCAAGCCCGCGTGGCGCAATTGGTTAGCGCGTCAGACTTTTACGAACAAGTGAAGTGATCTGAATGTTGCGAGTTCGAGTCTCGCCGTGGGCGGCTTGATTTTCTCCTCTCTTTTTTTGCCTTTTGAATCTTCGCGATTATTTCCAGTACAATTAATTGTCTACGCTCTTTTTGGCAATCCCATACTAGAACCATGCTTTATGAAGCTTTGTTTGAGAACTTCACCTTTTCAGAATGCATCTCTTATTCTCGTTTGGCGTTCGTGGATTGCTGGGTCTGCAGTATCCGGAATAAACAATCGTGGTCATGTTTGGAATTCCGCGGTTGATCAATGTTAATAAAGCTTCGCACCTTCCGCGTTTGCACTCATGTACTGGCACACAACGTGGGATATAACTTAGTCATTCCGCCCTCAACATACATTATCGCCTTTTCCAAGCTATTCTCGACTGCAAAAGTAAATGTCTTGAGGAATCAGATCCGCCAATCCGAAATCGGCCTTACTTGGGCAAGAGCTTCGGTCCCGTCTGTGCCAATGCCGGGCTTTACTTGACAGACTCAATGTTGATCTCATGGAGAATCTGCGGCCATGGCCTGAACTGTCCAAGACGTCAAGATGGAGGTGGTTGGTTTCGGACGTACACAACCACATATGCCCAGGCATGTTCGTGACAGTCAAGAAGGAGGAAATCACTGCATTCAGCTGGGAATCAAGCATGCATTTCAACTAATCTTACCTGTAGGTAGGCATATCTCCTTGCTCAGGGTGTGAGCTTTATGTTGACGAACTGCTGTTACACTCGAGTATGTCATGTCACGGACAACTTGCTCCCATTGAAGGTAATAAAGGGTGAGTCAATTTCCGTTTTTTTTTTTGGCCTCACAATTTCAGCTCCCAGAGGATCAGGGATGAAATAGGAAACCCGCCCTGTAGCCTGATGTTTGCTTGATGTCTGAATGAGAAGCCAGTCGTTTATGTATTCTGCCCGCTCAAGAAACTCGAGTGTCTGGCTCCACTCCAGGTTTGCTTCCAGTCCTCTACCTACCTACCTACCTCTACTTATTCCTCTACCTCTTCCGCTACCTCTAGGAACCCAGGCAGTGAATACATCAAATGAGCTCACTGATCAGTTCGCGCAGATAGGTACAGATACACAAATTGGAAGTTCACAGTGTTCTTTCCAAATCAGATAAGGCTTGCTGGGCTATCAGGTAGGAAATCTGGAAAAGTACCTCTATCTACCGCACTTGTGTTTGTTGCTGTTCCTCCTTTCAAGGAAGTGAGGCTCTCTGCGTCATGTAGAGGTAAACGGGAGTTGGCGAAAGCCGGTCCCCATCTCATCGTGCACTCAACTGCCCATTTTCAGGTACCGGACTCCCACCGCCCTCGGGCTTTGAGCCTCAAAGCATGCCCTGTGCTTCGTCATACTATTGGGTTCAACGGTCCAGCTCTGCAGCCCATATCCATGCCAGTCAGTTCTATCAACATTGAAACTGTAGCCCCATTTGCTTCTTTTCCTTTTTCTGGAGGGAAATGTCAGGCAACCCCACCCGAGAACTGCCCCGGAAGAGGTCACCTGCTGCACTTGATATCAGACGGAATAGCCCAGCCTCCTATGTGTCATCTGGAGCAATCCATAGAGGTGCTCATCCGACAAGCAGGTAGCACAGCCACAATCTTGTTGAGCTCTGTGACTAGATTGAACCCCTCCACCTCCGATCCCTGATTGCCACTGGCCTTGCTCTACTCTGAGGACTATAGACCTGTGCAACGCGTCATCGAAAAGTCCAGACTGCAGTTCGAACGCACGTTGACTGTAGGCAACAATAACTCACTTTTTCTTTCTCAGCCGAGGGGTTCTGAGGTCAAACACAGCCCTAAGCCCCGCACTGGATCTTTCTTTTTTACACGAGCATAAATTCTCCAGTCGTCTCGTTCCACCTATCTCCTCTTCCCTTCCTCCTTTTCTCACATAACAAACTCTCGAGTAGCCCGCCTCGTCCTTCTTTCCACGCAGTCTACTAGCTCTCACTTCTTCCTCTTCTTCATAACCTAGGCAAGTCGTGAACCAGCAAGATGGACAAGATCATCGTCGTCGCCTATCGTTGTCAGTAGCATCTTCACTGCTGCCGGCATCGTCGATGGCATCGACGCCATCTCACCCTCACCTAGCATCGCCCTGGTTACCACCCTCATCGTCAAGTTCTTCGTCTGGGGTGACTGTGCTTTGCTCGCCGAGCTCAACGTTGCTCCCGATGTAATGTGAGTTAAACTCCCGTTGTCATCAATAGCTTACAACTTCAATTTATCATGTCATTTCTCCCCTCATCTTCTCGATCTTCATAATCTTCTCCTTCTGCCCTCAAGCTCCATGATCCGGGCTCCTTCTACGCTGCCAATCTCATTTTGTGATGGGAATCTGGAACGATACTGACAAAAACAGACCACCACCGACACTATGGCTCCTCACGCTGCCAACGTTCATGTTCCTGGTCCTGCGGGGCCATGCAACAGAAGGCCCAACAAACCCAGCAGCAAGCCATGACGGACTGGAGCAGGTGATGGACGGGAATGCCCGGTATGTCTGGTATGAATAGCATGATCCCTCAGAACTACATGCCATAGATGTTCCATCCCAGGTATGCCGGGCACATCCAGCCACAACGCTGTGGTTGTAAGTAACACACCCTTCCTCCATGCGAAACCCGTTCTTTTAACGATCAGTCACTGACCTACTCCAGTCAACAACTCCAACCAAAGACTGTTCCCCGTTCCATGGCCCAGCGACGTCCCCAAGCAGCAACAACTGTCAATCGACCCAACCCCTCTCGTCATCGTTCCCTTCCTCTTCTTCTTCGTAACCTTCTTCGGCCTGACCTTGTTGGCTACGAGCAAGCACATGCACCACGCTCATAAGCTGGGCGTCCTATACGTCGTAGGTTCCGTAACCCGCAAATGGTTGGATCAGGCAAAGGCCCTTGAACAGCCCACCGCCCTCGGTGCTCAGGATTCACCTGCGGCGCCCATACGTGCTGGACGACACGCGCGGTTTGAGGTCCAATCAACGGCAACCCCGACTATGACAACCGTCCCCGCGTAAAGCGGACCATCGGCGTTCCCAAATCCTTCGTCAAGACAGCAAACAAAGCAACGGCCCAGCGGGACAACAAGAACCAGACCATTAACAATCTTCGTGTATCTTTTTGTGTTGTTTTCCCAGCATCATGGTCAATGCTGACGGAGAGTTCGTCATGGCAGAGCCTGACAAGGCTTCATGAGAACAGTTTCAGGCCGAGGCCAAGTCGAATTCTGCAACTCAAAAGGCCACTCATGAGGGAGACAAGGAGACTCAGGAGCGTGGGCTGGAGTGCCCCAACGATCACAGGTTGTTTATAGACCCAATGAAGACACCCACTCCAGCCCACGCTCCTGGCAAACAAGAAAAGAAGGAAGAAAAGATACAAGGAATAAACCAAAAAAAAAATATTTTTAAAAAAAAATTTTAAAAATAAAAAAAAAAAAAAAAAAGAGAGAAAAAAGAAAGAAAAAACTATTCTCAACCTCATCCCTCTTCCCTTTACCACCCTTTCCCTCCTCTTCACTCATGTCGAAGTCCGGAAAACTCGAGAGTCTTCCCCTATCCGTATGACCACTACGAGCGGCTGACAAAAGTCTGCTCCTGAGGGAGATAAGGAGATTCAGGAGCGTGGGCTGGAGTGCCCCATCGACCACAAGTTGTTCATAAACCCAATAAAGACACCACTCCAGCCCACGCTCTTGATAAGAAAGAAACGAAAAAAGAAGAAAAAAAAGAAACCCCCCTCAAAAAAACGAGAAAAAAAAAAGCCCCCCCCCCCCCCGAAAAAAAAAAAAGAGAAAAAAGAAAGAGGAAAGAAAAAGAGCAAAAAAAGAACAAAAAGAGAAAAGAAAAAGATATAAAAAAAAGGAGAGGAAGGGTTGACCTTGTCGATAACCGCCTCGAACCAGCGAGACCACGGCACGAACAAGTTTTCTTGCAACTTGTACTTCTTAATTCTAACAGCGAGTTGCAGGGACTCGGGCGCTCAGGAACTCGAGGGGGCCCCACAGCGACTGGCAAGCTACATGAAGCGCTTGGAGGAAGAACAAAAGAAGATCAACGACATTATGCTCGAGATGAATCCGAACAAGCGGCCAAGGACCCTCTCAGCAGCAGAGCAACCATGCCGAAGCATACCAAACTGCCAAAGCGGGGTGCTGGATCGCCAGAGACATAGCAGATATCAGGCTTGATATTGAGATGAAGCGAGCAAAGATAGAGGTAGAGTTGCCGGCTGATTGGTGGAAGAAGCTGTCTAGGTACCGTAGCGGGAAAACCTGTTTCCAGACATGCGTTGTAGTTGTTGGACAATAACCACAATCAATGTTTCCTAGCCAATGCATCTTTCGTATAGGGGGGATAGGTGTGGTGATATAGAGGTAGTATCCTTGGTTTTGAAGCTGGGTCGGGTCCGAATTTCGAAATTTCTCAAAGTCTCCAAAGTCCCTCTTTCCCCAAACTATCATCCTTTTTCAGGTATCAATAGAAAGAACCAAGCATTTCTTCCATCATATATGCTTAAGTTGTTTCAGACTAACCATCCGCATCAGCGCATCATCACGGCACTTCAGCATGCGGTACGGCAGGACTCCACTCCACTCATCTAGTCTTGATAAACCCAACATTTTAGCCAAACTTTCAACAAGGCGGGTTTAGCTCAGTTGGGAGAGCGTCAGACTGAAGTCCACTTCACTCATAAATCTGAAGGTCGTGTGTTCGATCCACACAAACCGCATCAACTTCTCTTTTTGTTGTTTTCGACGTTGTCGCAGTGGAGTTGTGGTCGAAATAAAAATGGATGCTCAGGAGGGCAGAGCAGGGGTCATCCTTTTTTCCTTTTTTTTTTTTTCTTGTGACTTGCACACTGTGAACATGACTCGCGTATAAGTCATGGACTTGAAGTCGCTTGCCCGAGTTCCAACGAGGAAATAAAAAGGTCAAGTTGGGAGAACTGCAAACTGCCCGTGAGTGCGATACTACCTTTAGTCGATAGAGGTAGGCTCCGCGGAAGCGCTTTCACCGGTTGAGGGTACCTAGGCACCTACATAATATAAGACGCATGACCTTTACCCGGTCGAACCGGCCTTCGTAGAACTTTGGTTCCAACGTATGGCCTCTTGGTAGGTACCTTAGAGAGCGATGTAAGCCGCAGCAACGTTACTAAAGAGCTCGAAGAGGAAGGGGATGTGAAGTACCTTGATGGTCACGAAAGTACCTCTACAATCATTAGTCGTCTTCTCGGCACAGCACGAAGGTTATAAATCCGGATCTGCTTCTTCCCTCAAAGTATTATTAGCTTTGCGAAAATAGAGAAAATGGAGGACCCAGCTTGGACATTTGATAAGGCAGGATAAGGTGTACAAATATTCACTTACCAACATCGTCAGCCGGAAGCGCTTGCTGGGCTTTCATCCGTTGCCACTGCGGTATGTTGTACAATTCGCGTGGCTTTTTCCTTGCAACAAGAAGGCACCCAGCAAGGGCATGACAGTTCCGGTAGCCTGGTTTCCAACTGAAGGGTTATTCCATGACATAGCGTCACTATGAGCCAGGCAATAGCTGAAGCGCAGGGCTGAGCAACTGAGTCTCGTGGGACTACCTATACATGGAGAATTGGAGGCCAAGTACCTAGAGGTAGGGACATGAGCAGTGCGTCTTTGCGTTGCAACATGCTCTGAACTTGGCTTCAACCCCCCCGCTTACCAGCAACATGTTCTTGACTGAGTTATACCGAGAAAGCTATAGTGTCATCTGTGTAGGGCTGTGTGCTGCCGAGACTGAGGCGCTGATTCTTTCCATCGCCGGTGAGAACCGACTGCCGAGAATTGCTAAAGTTATGAGTTCGAAAATTTCCAACGAGGTACTCTTTCGTTGAAGGCCAGAAGAACTCGATAAATGTAGTGAGAAATCTTGGGGGTAAACACTTTGAAGCCTTGTATGGTCATGTCCCTCCACGAAGATGTCAGTTTACCGTACCTCTAGCAATGAGAAAAAAGGTCCGGATTCAAGCTAAAGGTGATCCTATTGCACCAACGAAAAGGGCTAGTAATACGACTACTAGAAGCTCTGTATCGACAACGCCCTGCGCGCCATCGGCCAAGTTCCCGACGGGACTCACGAGAGCGACTCGCTCTTCCTTTACAATATCGGCACCGCCGTCAGCGCAGTTCTCCAGTTTGACGAGTGGTGCAAGGCCGACGGCCAGGACTGGGGACCAGCTGGTCTAGAAAGAATGTCGAACGTCGTAGGACATTTTCCTTTTTGCTATTTGCCTAGCCAGGCTTGATGCTCTTCTGCCCTTTGAAAGTAAAGACAAGGTAGGGTAGCTCCATTATTAGCACAGCATATGATATGAATAGGTTGCAACCACACCGCTAGAGGGAAGTACAAGGCTAGGAGCTGCCATCCTCAGATCTTTCCTATCGGAAAGAAAAGAAAAAACAATTGAAAAAAAAAACAAGACAGTAGAAACACCAAAAGTGGAAAAAGCTAGAAAAGGAAAAAGAGAATCACCGACTTCAGAGAAGCGGAGACAATTGAATTTGACAAGAGTGGGATTCGAACCCACGCCCTTTCGGACCACGGATATCTCGGATTAAGGGTTAACCTTAACGTGGCGCCTTAGACCGCTCGGCCATCTTGCCGTTTTGATGAAATTTGGTCAATATTCTCTCTTTTTGAGATCGGCTTCTTCTCGCGGTCCATGCGATTTGCCATCTTACTCCTCAATGCGGCCTTCCTCTTCATCCTTCCCACCCTTATAGACCTGTCTGATGAACCTCTCGGCCTCCTCAATAATATGCACACTTTGATCCACGCTGGGCGAGCTCGGATCTCCTTGCACTTTCTGCCATCCTACTAACGATTCCCTCAAGTGGCTTCCCGCTTGGAGGATATCGGGCCCGATGAGGTCTTTGAGCAAAGAGATGCGGCAGGCGGCTAAGAGAACAAGCATTGCGCCTGCCATTCTGTTTTTCTCCGTGTCAGTACTAGATGCAAATCGAATCACGTATGGAAATAAGACACAAGAAGGGAAAAGAAAAGAACAGGAGAGCGACGCACGAAAGTGAACAGACCCACGTATCAACTAATAAGGTCTGAGAAAACCCCCTAAGGTTCAAAATATGAAGCAAACATGCATCCAGGCAAGACTTGCAGTTAGCTAGGACTTCGTGTTCCGCTAGCTTTATGTTCATAGCTGACGGGGTAGTGGTACTGTTCACGCCGACGGCCGTGCTGCTTGTTGGAACGGAGGCCAGGGGACCTTGGACGCCACGGGATCCACCGGTTGTTATGATTGGGCTAGTGACAGGGTTGGAGCCGGCATTCGAACTGCTTAACATCCACATAAGATATCTATAGCAGAAGGTTAGTGGCTAGGTATCTTCCAGGCTCGGTTGATGAGAGCGAACGAGTTGTAACTTACGGCCGGTAGATGACGCTCCTACAAGTGAGATACCTTTGCCTCAGGAACCCCCCATGCTCCGTCTTTACTCCGGTGATATTGTGCTTCGCACCGACTGGCGGCCACTCAACCTCGAAAGCAAAGGCTTCTGGAAGCACAGTCCTCCACTCATCCAACTGATGATCCAGCTCCTTCACAATGCCAGGGAACCGCTTATCATCCAAACTCGCGCCTGTTCCCCTCGCATACAGTAGTTGATGTACTCGATTAAGCAGCCTCCTCATCGAGATGCAAGCCAAAAAGTACAAGGAGCTTTGCTCCTCCTCTTGGGCGTTCGAATGCGTGCTATACCCTGCACCTGGTAGCGGAACTGAGGATTCAATACGCGCAATACCTGATAGTGGCAAGTTGGAGAGCTCAGCTAAGTAATCAGATTCGAGGATGTAGCAGGACCAAAAGATGCGGCGAATACGTTCTTGATCTTCGGAAGTGGAATCTCGGGAAGAGTATGAAAGGAGAAGGAGACACTTGGTGGCTGCGGCGGAAATATACTCCCATGCTTGGAGGGGACGGCGAAGGAAGGCGAAGTAAAGACTGAAGGTTGAGAGATTAGTGTTAGTCGGAAAGTGAGCTGGAAAGGTGGAGGGTGGTTAAGGCACATTGAAGCCAAAGAAACTCACGCTACGAAGAAAAGACACTGTGTGGCTATGGAGTCGACATCCATGTGGGCAACGTAAAGCTTCTTGAGCGCACTCTCGAAATACATATCGCCCGTTGCACGATAAGTTGCTCTGCGTCTCCGTTCGCTCTCAGGGACAGCAGCGCTTTCCATCAAGCCTGCCGTCACCTTGCTTGCACAACCCAGTGCCATGACGAGTAAAGCAAGACAGACGCGGAGCTCATCGTGGTCGTCAAAGTTTACGTTCGTGATAAGTGCCCGAGCATTATGTAGCTGATCGCTTGACGCTGTAGGATACCAGAAGTTGACGGCATGCTCGAAGGCATCCAAAATGCTGTCAACCTCTTCTTCTGTCACGTACGGATGGATGTTTCCTTTCTTCGTCTTGATGCGAGGACGAGACTGCTCAAGGTGGGAGATGGAGGTGTAGTCCTTGCGAAGACTGGGGAAGACGTCGAAATGGGGCCATTGTAGTATTGACTCCGTTGTAGAAGTATGCCGTGATTCGAGAACAGCATTCTCCAGGTTGTTAGCGTTGTCTAGCTCGTCCGGATGTGGACAGAGGGTAGGCCGAGGTGTAATGCGCAGGTCTGTGAAGGAGCCCCCGAAGAGGTTCCTTCTACCAACTGACGAGCCGACCGCGGGTGACAGTACAGGATGAGAAGAACTGCGATTAACGAAGTGTGGCGATGCTGCCTAGGTATACAAGTGTTAGCACCGGAGGTGCGACGAGTGAGAAGGGCAGCTGACAATGTTTGCATTCAAGTCGTGAAGATACTTCTCAACACGCAACACCCCTTCCAGGATGAGATCACTCTTTCCCCTCCTGTGGTTCAATTTGTCAGCCAGTGACCCGTTGAATCGAGGATTGACAGACGTGATGGTATCGCTCACGAGTTGGCTTCAGATCCATAAGTGCAGTCGTTTTCAGTTGCGACACAAGCCGCACATGGCGTATTACCGTCACATCTATTATCAGGAAAGTAAGCGGCCTGGATTCCAGGTTCAAGACACCTCCACCACAGCGGCATGGCACCTTTGCAGGATGCACATGCGGGTAGTCAAGGGAACGATAAGAGGATCAACAAACCTTATTTTTCTGGACCGGCACAGGTCACACTTGGATAGTAAGTTGCATAAGCGGATGACTCCATTAAGCAACATGGGGCCGAAATTCAGGAAAAAGCAAAACTCACTGCGTGGGATGTTCTAAACCGCTTCCTTGATGGCCCGCTCCTGGTGTCGTTCTCCATGGCCATCTTGCATCATCATTACTTCCATGCAGGATCGGCGTTGAAGGCTATCAACACTATCGGCCTGATCCGAAGCGGTCCGATTTAAAAGGACTGCAAACTAAGACCCGGCGTCAAGAGGTGAAGAGGGGGAAAAGGGACGCGATGGTCCGGGACATTCCAGCCATACCCCCCTGGCCCTAATATTGCGGGGAAAGCGGAGACTACCGAGACAAGGGGTCTGGGGTTGGGAATGATTTGAAGAGAGAGGGGGGGAGGGGGGGGAGGTAACTTACAGGAACAGGCTGTCATGCCAGGCTCGGACCCTATCAATCCACGAAGCCGTCGTGGTATACGAAAGCTGGAACTTCTCGTCCGGAAATTATTGGGCCATGACTCTACGATAGACTGTGCTCAACACTTTCATAATGAGCAAGGCCAGGCGCTTACGGTCCGTACTTGAACTCTGTAGCAAGAACCCGAGTGTACTCTCTTATAATCACATCAACATGTGAAGGTTGGGCTGGTGAGAATATTGATTGGCCATCTGAATCATGGGCTTAACCTCCATTCAATCACGTGCAAGTCCCATTGACCAAACTAGATTGTAACTTTCTCGTCATCCGGCGCTCCCATGGTGTTCAATACTGTCTGCGCACTCCTCTTCTCCAGGCTTTTCTTGACCGGGTTAGGAGCCGAGAACACTTCCTCGAGTTCTTCAAGGGTGCGATCCTTGGTTTCAGGGAAATAGAAGAAGATCACGACACCTTCGATGAGGTCCCAAAACACAAAAACGAGATAAAAGTAGTACCCGATCTTCTCGAAAGCAGGCCCAGAGGAATATTGAAGAACGACAGACGAAGCAGCGGATGCGAAATTTCCGACAGCAGTGCCTTTTGCGCGGGTAGCTGTGGGGAGTGTCTCCGCAATATACATGGACTGCAGGGCCGTCCATCCGAAAGAAAAGACAATGCCAAATATGAAGATAAAGGCAATGGTGGTGTTAGCGGCAGCACGTTGGGATGGGGTGAGAGCTTGAGTGTCAGCGTCGTCAAGGTTACCAACATGGCCCGGCATTGCGAGTTTACTGGTACCTGTCATGATGGCGAAGCAGATGGAAGAGAAGACGATTGTGTAGAGCAGAAGAGGACGGCGGCCAACGACATCGGTCATGCGTGCTCCCGTTACGGCGCCGATGAGCGACAAGGCTGGGTTGATACCGTTCAGCGCCAATACCTTGTGCTCATCGGTAATACCGGCTGATTTGAGCATATTGACCATGTAATAGGAGGACAAGCTATTGCCGCTAACTTGGCCAAAGCAGGCCATGCCGAGGACGCAAATAAGGCGGTGACGGGCGGAGTGAGTGTTCCAAAGCTCGTGATAATCGTACCACCTCTTGTCGGATGCCTCTGACGAAATCTGGTTGGCCATCTCCTTGAGTTGCAGCTGTACTAGAGGGTGGTCGAGCCGGCCTTCGCCGTGGTAGGTGGCCAGGATTTTGGCAGCTTCTTCGTACCTGTCTTGAGCCATGAGCCACCTGGGACTCTCGGGCAACCAAAAGACTCCCAAGCACACGATTCCGGAGGTAATCATCTGGCACCAGATGGGAATTCGCCACGCGTCCTTGTTGTTCTCGATATAAGAGCAACCATAGACGACCCACGAAGCGATAATAGAGCCAATGTACCAGGTCGTATTATACAAGCCCGTCAGGGTGCCGCGCCACTTGGGGTGAGCCATCTCGCTGACATAGCAAGGGGCTGATACGCAACAGAAGCTGACGCCGAAACCGAGGACGAAGCGACCGCCTAGGAACTGGGATTTGGTATGTGTCGTGGCTTGGACGCACGTGCCAATGATAATGACAAGAGCACCTGTGAACATGCCCCAACGACGCCCGAACCAGTCGTTGACAGGGGCGGTGAAGAAAACGGCAGCAACACTGCCGATGTTATACATGGCGAAAACAAGGCCGGTTCCTGAGCCTGCAGTGGACCTGGAAGAACCCAAGAGGTTAGCTGATGTATCACTCATGGGTGTCTTGGCCGATGAACACATACATGTGGAAGTAGTTCTGGTAGGCTTTCATACCGTTCAAGCCTCCCATCAGACTTCCATCGTACCCATTGAGGCATCCGCAGAGGTAGGCACACGCGAGGACAAGGTAGAGGCGGAACATGCTCTTGGACCAGGGCGAGTACTTTGTGTTATCGACATCATGGGCCAGCTGGACAGTAACGTCGGATTCTGGGAAGGCATCGTCATGGGCACCCATGGCCTCCTTTTCGTTTATGCTGTGAGCCATGTTGACTGGCTGTTAGGGAGTTATGCTGAGAGAGCAATTGGAAGTTACCAGAGACACCTCTCCAAAGCGGAAAACGAAGAGGTCATGGTGCCCTTTTGTACCACGATGGCAAAGCAGTGATGAGCTCGTTACATGTGCTTCCACCGTCCTGGGTCAGTCCAGGCTTCTTGAATTGGCGCAACCCTGCATGCTGATTGATGTTGCTTTTGCACCCGTCAGCGCCTTTCTATGCTGCCGTGCCGAAGGGGAACTTGGAGGGTGTGGTTGCCAAGGGTGTTATAACCAGGGTTGGTCCGGGGCCCCAGACATTAGGTGCATTCGTTGTGATGGCGAATCTGGGGAACAAATCTGGGGAAACGGTGACAGGGTCGGTCTCGGTCCCTCTTCCTCCGAACCTGGAGAGGCTGGACTCTCGTCCGCATAGCTACATGGTAGCACAGGTATCCATATCCATGGTGTGAGAAGACCGTGGTGGCGATTCTGAACATTGGGATGACCAGCGAGTAAGGAAATGGACGAGACAATGATTCTGTTGGGGTCCTGGTGACTGGTAGTGTTGCCCAATCTGTCACTCTGCCAAAGGGCAGGAACAAACAAACGACCAAATGTGAGCCGAGCAAAGGCCTTGATAATGTGCCATTGCTGTACAGTAGGGAGAGATCATAGCAGCTGGAATGGGCTGCAAGCAAGAAGAGTGAAGAGAAAGGAGCAAAAGTGCAAGTTGGAGAACAGAAGCGATTTTGGAGTGCAGTGCCTGCATGTTGTTGAAGCACCCAACCGCACCAACCAATCTCCTTCCACAATTGGGCCGGCTCCGACTTCCCCGACAGTTTGTGCCTCCCCCGCATTTTCCCCCAGTCATCCAAACAGCTGTTCATGAACTGATGTGCTAACCCTTAACGGCTAGCTTCTTCGCTTTCTTCTGTCTGGTGACGGGACGGAGCCATCCTTTCTCATGTCTGCACCTTCCTTACTTCACCTACAACCAGCTTGGGAAGGAAGAATCCTTTCCCAACCTGAACCGCGTGTACTCATTCTACTGACAAGTTTGATTGGTGCAAGATACCGCTATGGGCCGCTACCTCTACGGAGGGAGCATGTACTTTGTAGGTACCTCCTATCTATGCAGAAGAATGCGGGGTCACAGGGTCGCAGTGTGCTGCCTCAACCCCTCGCGACAATCACTCAATGAGTCTCGCCTTTCACCATGTTCAATGCCCGATTACGAGCCAAAACACCAGGGCAGAACGTGCGGCGTTGCACTGGAACCGACGTCGATGACCGGGTAATGCGGGAAGACACAAAACAAGATGGCCTGTCTCGGCTTGCTGGAATATAAACACCTGGCCACTTGGCTGGCATCCTCTCTTGCGCTTGCGATTTCCCTTCGATAACACCACGTCGTATCCTCCACTCTTTTCCTCCGTCCTTTTCCCAAGCCCCAAGAGCTACCGTTTCCGCAATAATGGCCTCCGGCTCTCGGGGCATCCCCCTTGAAGAGGTCGACGGCACACCCGACTACTGCAATGAGTCTGTCTTCCGGCGCAACACTCTGCCTCCACGGACATACTACATTCCCAAGGATGCCCTCTCGCTCAACGGCCAATGGGACTTTCACTACGCCTCGAGTCCTCTAGCTGCTCCAGACCCGACTGCAGAAAATGGCCAAAACCCGACTGACAAGCACAACGCAAAATACCAGTGGACTACCATTCAGGTTCCTGGCCATTGGCAGCTTCAAGGCCACGGTATCCCACACTACACCAACGTCCAATACCCATTTCCCGTCTGTCCGCCCTTTGTGCCTTCGGAAAATCCCACTGGCACCTATCGTCGCTCCTTCTTCGCACCGAACACGTATGAGACTGATCCAGACCAGGTCCGCTTGCGATTCGACGGCGTTGACAGTGCCTACCACATTTGGGTCAATGGTGTTCTCATCGGGTACGCTCAAGGTTCCAGGAACCCTTCCGAATTTGACGTAACCGACTATATCGACCGACGCGGTCCCAACGAGCTCGTTGTCCGGGTCTACCAATGGTCAGACGGCTCATACATTGAAGACCAGGATCAGTGGTGGCTTTCGGGAATCTTCCGCGACGTACACCTCTTGTACTTCCGCCAAACTCGCATCGAGGACTGGTCCTTACGGACAGATCTCGACACCGGATACAAAAATGGAACACTCATTGCCGAGATCGATGTCAAAGCAAAGTCTCGCTCGGTGATAGAAGTAGAAGTCCTGGATCACTACAAACTCGTCGGCACTGCAAAAGACTCGGGTGTTGGCAGCAGAAAGGTGATGCTCAAGATTCCGATCGACAATGTTAACCAATGGACAGCGGAAAGCCCGAATCTCTACACAGTCTGGATGACCCATATGGTCGACGATGCACCTTACCATAGAGTTGAACAAAGGGTCGGGTTTCGCAAGGTTGAGCTGAAGGACGGACTGATCTGTGTCAACGGGAAGCCCATCAGATTCCGCGGCGTCAATCGACATGACCATCACCCTTGCTTTGGACGTGCTGTACCGCTGGACTTCATCAGAAAGGACCTCCTGCTTATGAAGAGACACAACATCAACGCGCTGCGATGCAGCCATTACCCATCGCACCCAAAGCTTCTGGACCTTGCTGACGAGCTCGGTCTTTGGGTCATAGACGAGGCAGATCTCGAATGTCACGGATTCTACGATGTCATTGCACGGCCCTTGGATATACCTGAAGAGGTGGATTACGAAGAGCGAAAGAAGCTTACTTTCGGTCATGCCGCCAAGTTTACAAGTGACAACCCGTCTTGGAAAGCAGCGTACCTGGATCGTATGGCCCAGCTCATACACAGGGACAAGAATCACGCCTCTGTCATTATCTGGTCCTTGGGCAACGAGGCTTTCTACGGCCAAAACCACAAAGCCATGTACGAGCTTGCGAAAAATATCGACCCTACAAGGCTAGTCCACTACGAAGGAGACCCTCATGCTGAGTCTGCAGACATGTTCTCATACATGTATCCATCCGTTGAGCGATTGATCAGCCTCGCCAAGACTGAAGGCGTTAGGTCTGATGGCACCTTTGAGAAGCCCATAGTGCTTTGCGAATACGCGCACGCAATGGGAAACGGACCTGGCTGGCTCGAGGATTACGAAGAGGCATTCCGCGCCTACCCTCGCCTTCAAGGAGGCTTCATATGGGAGTGGGCTAACCACGGTTTATGGAAAGAAGACCCTGATGGAAAGTCCTATTATGCTTACGGAGGTGATTTCGGCGATGTTCCTAATGACGGGACGTTTGTCATGGACGGTCTTTTGTACAGCACTCATCAACCGACGCCTGGGCTACTCGAGCTTCAGAAAGTGTATCAGCCTATAAAAGCCGAGTTGATTGACTATAGTGATGTGGCCTGTAAGCTGAGGATCACGAACTCTTACGACTTTGTCTCAGTCAATCATTTGACCGCGACTTGGAAAGTTGAATTCTTTGTGGACACCACCACTAGGTAAAATCCTGTCAACTTCCCCTTGGCCAGCTTGACGTCAAGGCACTAACAAATTTGCCGTCCCTAGTGCCATCTTGCATAGCGCTGGCGTCTTGGAACTGCCATATATACTCCCACAATCATCAGAGAACGTCGAGCTGGATCTAAGGCGACCATTGCCGTGGTTACGTCCACCTATGTGGTTGTCCGTCTCATTCCGTCTGAAAAGCTCGACAGCATGGGCGGAAGAGGGACAGGAAGTTGCTTGGGCTCAATTTGAACTCGGGTCAAATGATGGATTACCCCAGGGTTTCTTAGAGGTATCCTCAACGAGACTGGCGCTTCTTCCACTCCGATCCGAATTATCTGGCACTCTAACCACCATTACTGGACATAACTTCACCATCAACTTCGACAATGCAAAAGGCTATATGACCAGTTGGACAACTGGTGGTACTCCCCTCCTCGAACCCCACCCGCGAACTGGCGCGGCCATTATCCCCTCTTTCTGGCGTCCACCCACCGACAATGATAATCCCATTTCCCTCCCGTACTGGAAGCGCTTCGGTGTCCATGCCCTGACTAGCCAGCTCCGCTTCTTCGACGTTACTGACACTGGTAATATGGTCGTTATCACAACAAGAACGTTTCATTCCCCGCCAATTCTCTCCTGGGGATACCTTGCCCATACAATCTACGAAATCACTATCTTTGGCGAGATTCGCATCTCGATAACCCTGAAACCTCAGTCTTCTGACTACGTCAACACCCTCCCAGCCCACGTCCCTCGTGTGGGTCTTGATCTCCGTCTCTCACGCCGTCTCGATGCCGTGAAGTGGTTCGGCCTAGGACCGGGAGAATCCTATCCTGATAAGCGCACTGCCCAGCGCCTCGGAATTTGGTCAGTGGACCACGTCGCTGATCTTCAGACCCCTTATGAGGTACCACAAGAGAACGGTAACCGCATGGGTACTAGGTGGGTAGCCATCCATGAGCCTCAAGGGACCGGGCTACGAGCTAAAGCAGGGGACGGTGAGTGGTCTGATAACTGCGAGAGGAATTTCAGCTTCGTAGCGACGAGACACAGCGCAAAGGCGTTAGAAGAGGCAAAACATCCATGCGATCTCGTGGAAGAGGATGCTACGCTGTTGAGGCTTGACGCAAAGGTTGCGGGTGTGGGCACTGCAGCTTGCGGGCCGGGTGTGAGGGAGGATTTGCTCGTCAAGGTTGAGGAGATGAAGTTCTCGTTTGTGTTGGAGCCTCTGGTTTGAAGGGGAGGCATCAGCATCACTAGCAGGATGCTTTTTCATTGACATCTGTATGCCTTCAAAGCAAATAATTCCAAACTTGCATATACTATCATGGCACAAAAGCACCTCCATCACACGTCTTTTCGAACCACGACCCTCAAACATAGCCCCACGTGTCCTTCAACAACTGTGCAACTGTAATACAAGAAAAGGACCAGTGAGGGGCGGAAACTAAAACCATTTTGATATCCCCTTTCTCATAAGTCACAAGACGCAGGGAAAGTGACAAAAAGTAGGTATGTAGAAAGCGCTTCTGATGTATCATGGCAATGCACAATGCAAAATGCACAGCAACATTCAGACACTATGCACGCTTCGACCCAAAGAGAAATGTCAGCTTCGCAGCTGATTATTTACTGATTCGATGCCTAACCGGATGCAAGCAAAAATCCTTTCCCTACCAGACCTTACCTATGCATCCACTCGCGCCTGGGTATACATCGTCCGCTTAGAGGGGAAAAAAAGAGGGGGGGATAAAGCGACTAAGGTAAGATAAAGTACCTTGCCTTGCATCAGGCACGTCATGCGATGAATGCAGACTTGTGCCATAACGCTGATACATGGGAATAGATTGACGGCTGCTGAGAAATAATGCAAGGTACCGTTACCGCCGTCAGTAGCCAGCAGCAATAACTTCCAAAAACGTTATCACGCAAGCTGAGGTAACACGGAACATACCTAAGAAATTGATCAGTGACGTGGTGTCAAGCTTCAGGTCGGTTCCAATCCAACCCCGCTATTATTTTCAGGGGGGAGAGACTCGTGAATAAAAGAGCAAAAGAAGGCGAACAGAAGAAGCACAAGGAAATATCAAGCCAACGAATCTTGAGGAGACTCCGTCGTTAATAATGATCCATCATCAAGAAACCGCCGCGACATCCATCGAAGGGGGGCGGCTGTAGGTTGGAATAAACATAACAACTAACTATACTATGTCCCAGTAGGAACGGAAGGGACGGAATACGTACAGTAAACCCCTCCTTACCTCTACTTTGTGCCACCTCAACCACTCCATCGGATCCAACTACCTAATCAAGTCTACCACGGCCCAGGAATTCCCCCAGGAGGCCCCCAGAGCGGGGATTGGGCCGTGGAACCCTATGTCGCCATGTGCACTTTTATTTTGGGTTTGATCGGCATAATTATCCCTGTGTTGAGTGGGTTGATTCTCGTATTCGAGCGAGGATAGTATATTTCGAAGCCATGCGTGGTGGGTGTCAAATGCCGCGCAGTTCTATCTGTGGCGTGGCGCGGCTGCTGTTTGTTAGCATTCATTGCCGGCGCACATGAGATCTTGCAACAAACAGGAATGCCGCATGTAGGCGACGAAGTGGACTTTTTGAAGATTACGGATATCAACACAGGATCAACGATTGATTCGAGTCATCAAAAGTGGTATTGAATTAACAAATGCCTAGATAACGTAGCCCGTACCCTCGCCGGGGAGCACCAATTTTCCAAGCACACCACGCCGCCCCTTCATGAAGTATATAACAAGAAAGCAAGATAGGAAGGACCACATTGAACCACCATAAATCAGGCTGCCTACAAGGCACCATCGATCATCGTCATGAATCGGAGACAAGGTTTATATTTCGGGAACGAAATGTTTAGTCCTTGCCGCTGTAGCCGACCTTGATGTTGAGGGTGACCTGCTGGCCGCTCGCGATGTTGAGGCCAACACCGTCCTCAGCCTCCATACCCTTGGTGTAGGCGTTGGTACCAAAGCCACCGGGGAGAATGGTGGAGCAGGTGTCGTGGCCGCAAATCTGGCAGCCGGGAACGTCCATACCGGCAGCCTGGGCAACGAGAGAAGAGCAGTCGGCACCAGACCAGCCACCGTTGCTGCTGTTCTCAAAGTCGAACTCGGCCCAGTTACCGGCAAACTGGCCGTTCGTGGTGGTGGGAACCTCCTCGGCAGAGAAAGCGCAGACACCCTGGGTGTTGGCGGCGGCGACGACGAGCTGGGTCTCGCCAGGCTGGAGGGTGAAGACGAGCTGCTTGTTGGAAGCGACCTTGAACATGCCGTTGAGGCCGTGGTTGGAACCCATCTTGTTGCCGCAAACAACCTGGTAGGGCACGTCGGCAACGTTGGTGTAGTACATGCGGTTGTGGTACTTGTCGGCAATATTCTTGGGGACGGTCATCAAGTTGGAGTTCCACTCGCAGCCGTCAGCGTCGCCAGTGTTGCCAGTGTACATGATCTGAGCGTAGGTGACGCGCTTGGTGTTCTTGTTCTCGCCGCAGAAGGGAATGTACTCGTCATCGGAAGAAGAGTCGTCCCCGGTCGCAGCAGCCGCAGAGGACTGGGCAGGCTCAGGAACGGTGGTGCTGGAAGGAAGGGCGACGGAGGAGGAGGAGGGGGTGGCGGCAGGGATGGGGATGGGTAGGTGCTTTTCGGCCTTGTAGAACTTGAGGTCGCGCTGCTGGTGGGCGGCGCGGTGGAGGTGGGCGTGGCCAGAAGGCATGGCCGAGGCGCCGAGGACGCCGGCAAGGACGAGGAGGCTGGTGATCTGCATCTTGTCGGTTTGAATAGATGTTTGTCTAGTTGGAATGGATAGATGGCGCAAAGGATGCTGGGTATCTCGAAAAGACGCTGAAAGCTGGCTTGATGTATGTCTAGTCTATAGTAGTCGATTGAGATGAGGTGGCCGACGTGGTCTATGTTGTGCAATCAATCCAAGGAGTGTTGGTGTAGCGTGGGACCGCGGTCCAAAGGAATGGCTGCGAGATTGGGATATCTGCGCAAGAGTTGTAGAAAAGAGTGTGGTGAAGCGCAACAAAGGAGGCGTTGTGCGTCGTTGTGGTGTGTTGGATGGAGGAGGAGGAATGAAAATCGCGAGGGAGAAAGAGGAGGGCGTCAAGTGGTTAAAAGAAACGACAGAGCGAGCAGCTGCCCCTGGTCCACGTTTGTGCAGACGGCGCCTGCAGGGGCACGCACACGCACTGGATGCGTTCAGGGACCGGCATACCTTCCACACAACGCAGTGCGACGTTGCCCGGGGCAGCGAAATGAGGGCCTGGCAGAAATGATCCCTGGCACCTGGAAGATTGGTCTGGACAGGTGAGCCGAGTGGGTCTTGCAGTCCCTGCCACTCGTCAGGGCGGTGATCGTCCCATTTCTCGTCCCTGAGTGGCCAGCAGCGACCCGCCGTCCACGCCATCTGCTCAGGTACCTGATGCTTTTGATTGGCTGGCCCCTTTGATATCCCCCGCCTAATTCGCCGGCAGTTCGGTGGAACAATGGAACCCTTTGACGACGCACAAAGGCGTAACGCTGACTATTTGAATTATGCAGCACCTTTGACCCACTGCAAGAATAGGTCTCGTCCAGCTTGCCAAAGTCAAAGAAGCCATTGTTTCGCTGACAATAGAATCCTCATCGTGACCCCATCCGTCGAGTTCCTTTCTCTTCGTTTTGACTCAAAGGGGCCCAAGACAGGACGCACGTGCATTGACTGGTGTTCTGGAGATTAGGTGAACATGGGGGCGGGAAGGTTCCGTTGCTTTGGCGTCAAGGATGGCAGCGCTAGCCCTGTTTCTCGAAGCCTGGTCGCGGTCGGGTGGTCTGAAACGAGATGAACGGAAACGGGGGCAATGCAACCAAAGAGCTTCGATCCCTAACACATGTCCGGATTAAGTGCCGCCAAATGTGTTAGCGAGCCCCCTCGGCTAATTCATGGTTCGTTCATCCACAGTTTGATTAAAAGTGTAATGCGAATTGGCGTTGGCGGGTCGTTCCTTGGTAGACTTGGCAACACTGCACTCCCCCATTGCCCCGTTTCCGTTCCATTGGACCCCGTGGGCTGGTCGGCCACCAGCGCAGTAATTCTTCAATGAGTAAGCGCGCACCTTGAGGTTTTCACAGTGAAACGAGAAACAAACCGCGCCTAATGAAACTATTTGATAGAGGCATTGTGGTCATTGGATGACGACTTGCTAATGGTGGATCTTTGTTCAGTCATATCGATAGACTAGGCCAATTCGTGCTAGCCTGGGCCGGCTGTCTAGGGCTGCATCATGCGCCTCCTAGTGTAGAGACTTGATGTTGAACAACTCTCCCCAAAAACACCAAACGGAATCCTCTTGAACCTTGATCGATTTGCACCCCAGATAGGGAGCCTCAGGAGCATTGGCGAGCGTTCCAGACTTCTAGAACCGGATCACTCTTGGGTCCGAGATGATAGAAGATGACGACGCGCGCAACCGAGGCTTCCAAGAATACAAACCAATGGACATTTCGAACACCCAGCGAATCGCGGTATCCATGAGATGATCTTGGTGGCCGTTGTCCCGTATTCACTTAGCGAAGGGGGGAATGGAGGAATGCCGGTTTCCTCCCTGCTGTTGACAAGGGGTCACTGCCACTGCCACAGTGTGCCCCTGAGTAGCCTATGTAGGTAGTGATCACTCCTGAGTCCAGACTTCAGGCCCTCTCCTGCTCACAATGCACAATCAAGATCCCATCAACATTGAGCATTCGATTGATATCTTGCCAACGACTGTACCGCTATGAGCTGGAGAGGTCAAATGAGGGCAGTCAAGATCACGTGGAGAGTAGATGGACCTTCAATTCCATGTTCCATCGGGTCCCGTCCTCTGTCTGCAGCTGCAAACAAGCCAATGCACAGACCACTTGCATGGCTGCATTTTCAGCTCCTGATGGAAGCAGAAGTGGAAGTGGAAGCCCTGCGGATGGAACTCCCGTCCTGCCGAGTGAGCGGTGGAGTGGAGCACGGCGACCCCGCGAACGTGAGACGCAGCGGATCTTGCCCCGCCCCGCTCAGCTAAACTTTTCCTGTCCTGCCATTGGAAACTTTCGGCCTTGCCCAACCACGTCCGTTCATTCCTAGCAAAAGGCGATTTCAAAGTCAACAACCGTCCACCAAACCTGCTGTAGATTATTCAGACTGGTCGACCGGAAGCTCCGAATTCCCACTTTTCGCGATAACAGTGTCACTGAAACTGGGGCCCCGACACTTCCGTATTACGCAAGCCTTTCTCTCCTCCGACTCAACGTACCGAGAGCTTGCGCGTCGCTCGCGGCACGATATCGCATCGAATAAATTGTGGCACCGAGCCGAAACCGTACGCACTAACCACGATCTCCCAGATCGAGCTTGGCCGACCCGACCCGAAGAACGACTAGGGTACAACTACAAGCACAACCTGAGCTTGGTGGACACTAAGCAGGGGAAGCAAGAGCAAAAATTCTCGACTCAGGTTCAGCTCCCCAGACAGGCCCTCGGGGCGTTTGTTGTTGATCCTTACTGGATACCGTACCCCAATCTCGGCCTGGTGTACTCGCTACCTGCCCGGTAGAGAGATTAGCCCGAACCACGATACCCGGAGGAGTAAAGTGAAAGGCTAGAACAACCAGAACAAAGAAAGAAACACCCATCCACACCGCTATGCCTCTCGATACTTCAGCATACAGCCTCGCGCTGTTGCGCGTCGACGGCCGCAGGTGGAACGAGCTGCGTCGCATCCATGCCCAGATCCGCACCCAGGCCGCCGCCGATGGCTCCAGTTACCTCGAGATGGGCCACACCAAGGTCATGTGTGTCGTTAATGGACCCAGCGAGCCCGGTCCTCGGAGGGGAGCCACGTCGGGCGGTGGTAGTGGCGGTGGTCAGTCCAAGAACGCCGAGGTTGCTGTAAACATTGTCATTGCCGGGTTCAGCTCGGTTGACCGTAAGCGAAGGGGTAGAGGTGATAAGTAAGTCAATACCCAGGGGTTGTTCCCCCCCCCAGTGTCAACTACGGCTATTAGTCTGTCACTGTTCGCATAACTAACCGTCATCCTTCCTTCTTCCATTATCACAGGCACATCCTCGAACTTCAATCGACGATATCTCAAGCCCTCGCTGCCAGTTTACACACCCACCTCTTTCCGCACTCCACCATCAACATCTCCCTGCACGTGCTCTCGCAAGACGGCTCTTTGCTGGCCGCCCTCATCAACGCCGCCACGCTCGCCTGCGTCGACGCCGGCATTCCCATGACAGACTACGTCGCGGCCTGCACCGCCGGTTCGACGTCTACATACGCGGCTAACGACGAGGGCGCCGACCCGCTGCTGGACATGAACCACCAGGAGGAGCAAGAGCTGCCCGGCCTGACGGTGGCCACATTGGGCGACAGCGACCGCGTGGCGGTGCTGGTCTGCGAGAGCAGAGTGCAGGTGAGTCGCCTGGAGGGCATGTTGGCTGTGGGCGTGGACGGGTGTAAGCAGGTGAGGGAGATCCTGGACAGGGTAGTGAGGGAGAAGGGGATAAAGATGATACAGGAGGGCACGGTCGAGAGAGGGGTTGGGTTGAATGACATGGAACTGGATTGAATGCATACTACTGGATCAATGGTCGGGTTCCGGGTCACAGAAACGAATATGGTACGGTAGGTAGCATTACAAAGGTTTGGAGCAAAAAAGAATAGGCAACATGACGAATATCACGACTATCAATGTAATCAAAGTACAGCTCATGGTCAGGTGAGCAACATGTCGTTTCTGGTAAACGTGCGCCAACTTTTGAAAGCGTTCTCCGAAACTGAAAGGTACCAAAAAACCTTCAACCTTTGACCAGCCATTCACTGACACAAGTCACAGCAAACTACGCTTTCACCAATCTCTCACAGCTCATCGTGATTACCGGCCGTCTTTGGCTGGGCCTCAGGCGTCTCCCCCTCCTCCGAACCAGCCTTCTCAGCCTTACCAGACTCTTTCTTTTCCTTCTTCCCCTCCTGCTCATCCGTCGAGGAAGCCTCAACAACAATACCCTCCGGCAACTTTTTCTTGGTGCCCTCGCTCAACCTAATCGCATCAATCCACGCCTCCAACTTGTCATGATCCGAGAAATCATCTCCCTCACCAACAGCGTCGTAGTGTCTCCACCATCCGCGACGGGCGTTGATGACGATGAGTTCAATGTCAGCATCCTCCTTGAGGCCAAGGGATTTGAGAAGGGACGCGCCGGCGGGGTTGGTGTCGAGGGGCACCTCGTAAAAAGGGAAGAGCTTGTGTTGGCCGAGGGCGTATTTGAATTTTATTTCGGACAGGTGGGTGAGGGCCTTTTGGGCTTTTTCGTTGGAAGAGGAAACCAGGGCGAGAAGGCAAGTGCTGGATTTGGACGTGAGGCATTCCTTGATGAGCTTTTCGGGGGTGTTGAGGGAGGGGATGGGGAGGGCGGTGTGGATTATTACGGGAATCTCTTGGGTTGGGGCAGGGGTTTCGGAGGACGTTGCGGAGGAGGTTTCGGAGGAGGAGGAGGGGGACGAGGCGACCTTCTTGGAGTCTTGCTTTCCGTTCTTTTCACCACCGTTGGCCTTGCCGTTGGCCTTACCATTAGCCTTGCCATTAGCCTTGCCGTTGGCCGGTGCTGGGTCCGGATTAGGCTGGGCCGCCTGGGAAAGGAACTCCACCATGGCGGCCTTGTTGATCTCGCCGTCGTACACAATACCAGGGGCATCACCCCCAGGCAACAAGATCAGAGTAGGGAATTTGTCGACACCGAATGTGGATACCGCCTTGGACTGAGTGTTTCGCACCTGGCCGACGGGCATGACACCGAGGAATTCAATGGCGACGCTCTTCAGCAAGGGGGAGGTGGTGCCCTTGTCGGTGAAGAGGAGCGCTTTGGCTGTCTCGTTCTTGTCACTCAGGAATTTGTCGAGGTTCTTGTCCTCGACTTTCACGACGTGATTGTTAATGCGCGAGACCACAGCATCGACAATGGCGCTGGCGGTGCGCTGGCCCTGGTAGTCCTCCACTATGGGCTTGCCGTTCTTGGAAGGACGGACAATCTTTAAGGTCGGGAAGCCCTGCACGCCCATGCTGCCGCAGAAGGGCTTGTTGGCGTCCTCATCGCAGTTGACGGCGGCGACCTTGGCCAGGCCTTCGAGGTTCTTGGCAGCCTTTTCGTAGGCGGGCTTGAGGTTTTGGCAGTGGCCGCACCAGGGGGCGTAGAACTCAAGAATCTGCAAGGGAGAGAGGTCAGATACATGCATTATTACGATGGCTGATCTAAGATATAGTCGGTTTGGTACTTACAGACGTCTGGTTGCTCTTGGCAATCAGCCTATCGTAATCCTTTCCGTCAACCTGCAAAACTGGGGACTTTTTGGTATAAAGGCCCGCCTGGGCTCCGGGGAGCGCAGACAGGATACCAACTGCCAGAGCGCAGAGGGTGGAATGATGCATGGTACAGTCAGGAAGGCGACGCTTTTGTTTACTGGGTGACGGTGGTATGTATGGGGATGATGATAGATTCGGAGGTTTGTGGGGTTGGAGCTATAGTGTCATGAATGTACAATGGCCGATACCAATACAAAATGTAAGTGAGAACAAAGGAAGCTCTTCTGTATGGGCGTCCTAGGGAGTCAGTCCCGTGTGAAAAATGGTGTCGTGTTTTTGAAACCCAAGGAAGCAACAAACAGACAGACCGATTGAGATGAAAGGAAAAGCTGTCATCTTCCCAAGTTCGGCAAAAGAACACATTTCAACAGAAGCTGTGAAAGCTGGCGCCACATACAAATGAAGTCAGAAGCGTCCAGAATCACCAGGGGAGGAGCTGCGGTCCGGGAGCGCTTTCAGTGCTTTGAAACGCGCTATGGCTGGAATATGGCCCAAGCTCCAAGGCACATGTGGATGGCATCGATGGCGCTTGAGAGCAGAGGGCTGGGCGGGAATGTGGGGAAGAGACGCTAACAACTGAATTGGTGCCGCCTGCCGTACGCAGTACGTAGAGACAGCCGCGGAAGATAGGTGACGACGCTACCTGGTCCAGTCCATGTTCTTCGGTCAACCCTCCTCTGTTCCATGGAACTTGACAAGGAAGCTGAGAGATAACGACGAGCAGTACTTCCCCTCTTTCCTGGTTTGATAACTTCAGTTATCCTCTCTCCCTATAAATTCTCTTATCTTTATCGAACGTATAGCCCAGGCATTCTGTCAGACGCCCGAACGCAATCGTCATGACAGACAACATCACGATCCCCGCTGCCGTCAAGGCGGCCGATATCAACCTCTGGAAATGCGCGACAAAGGCCCTCCAGCTTCAATCAGTAAAACCGGAGATTGCGTATTGGTGTATGTACTAGAAGCGAACGAAGCAACGTACCCTCCAAGACAACTGGGGGCCGGCAGTGTCTGACTTTTGCAGGCAATTATTGGGTCGTCAACCAGATCCTTAACAGGGGACTCCACAAAGAGAATGACGAAATGATGACTTATACGATGGACTTGATGGGGAAGCTGGAACAGGCACGCTTTATTCCGCCGCCCTTTACCACTTCTCTTGCTGACTGTTGTTCCCTACAGGCCAAAGCTGAGCACCCGAACGAAGATGCCTACACAGACGACGAGGTCGGCCAGGTCGTCGTCGACAGATTCGCACAGGAAACCCTTGATCGCGCCGAGCGAGTGGTCAAGGCAAACAAAGTGACACAGCAAACGGCCATGACGTTCGATGCCGCCGCAACCTTCTTCCACCTGGTCAACATCTGGGGCCCTCCCGACGAGGAGACGCAACAAAAGATTAAATACGCAAAATGGAACGCCGCACGCATCGCAAAGGCCATCAAGGAGGGCAGGGACCCTAACGAATCCAACCCGAAACGAGAAGAACCCCAACTGCCGGCCTTGGACCCCAGTGATCCAGAAGTTCAGACATTGACCGGTTCGGTCGAAAAGACAACACCACCACCCCTTTCGGTCACAGTGGAGGAGGTCCCAGACAGAGACTTGCAGAGGACAGACGCTGCCGGCGTGTCTCTGCCAATCAGCCCAGCCTCGGCTGGCCCATCCCCGATATCCGAAGCCGAACTCAAGCTGCCCGGTGTACCCAGTGGGCTTGCTGAGCCAGCACCGTCAACAGTCTCCTTGGACTTGGACACTCCAGTCTCAGCTCCCACACATAACCCTGTCAACTACAGGCCTGAGCCCGATCTCCCATCCGCCCCCAGCGCAGTCTCATCCTACCCGGATCGTGATATCTCGATGCCGGACGCGGGCACTGCAGTTTGGACACCGGATGCTGATCGCCAGCCTCCCGCTCCGCCTGTCGTTCCTCCCACGTTTGCTCCCAGTGCACCATCAACAGCTGCTGTGGTATCGCCCCCTGTCAACCAGCCAACTGACTTTTCCTTCCAGAACCCAGCTCCGCCAGCTGCCCAAGCTCCCGCAGTTCCCAGTCTACAGCCAGTTCCTCCCCCACTAGCTGTCTCTGCAGCCACTTATGCATCTTCGCAAGTTGCTGGAGGTTTCACAACCGACGAAGCTGCCATGGCCTCAGCCCAGAAGCACGCTAAATGGGCTATTTCAGCATTGAACTTTGAAGATGTTCCTACGGCGGTGAAGGAGCTAAGGAAAGCGTTGGAGGTCCTGGGTGCAGCGTAGTTGATAGGTGTTACACGAGCTACGCAATGACCCTGATGGAGGTTTAGGTTATTCGCTGCGCGCCCACTGATATACGATCCCCGGGCCGGTCAGATCTCTTTATTACCTGCTATCCAGCCGTATATACCACTGGAACCAAGGCATCAAAATCGGGTTTTAAGCGGCCTTTATGCAAGCTCGGGCAAAAATGCCTTTCACACTATTGAACACTTGGCGGTTACCAGTGGAACATGGAAACTTTCCAGAAGCAATGTTTACCAGGGCCCGACAATGGGAATGTGTAACCGCCCAGTGACCGTTCGGCCGCATAGGGAGCCCTAGGCGAGTCTCGTTCTGACAGCTTCCCGAGAGCTGGGATAATACATTGCGCACTTTGAAACGAGACAGCGAAAACACAATCTGCCGATTTCAAGGCAGGTCTGAGGGCTGGTACACAGTCCTTCGCATCGACTTTGATGAAGCCGGGTGGAAGAGAGGCTGCAGAGAAAGGGTCCAAGCACCCCAGGGAAACTTGTTGATAGACGTAATGTCGCGAGGATGGAGCTGTTGGTTATGTGTCAAAGTCAGGGGCAAACTGAGCGTGGAATTCTACTGGTCATCGACACACCGATATGTGCACATTTTTCGATGAGTGAGGATGATGGCTATGCAACCCTTTGGTGATGACCATCTTCATCAGTCTTGGTCATCTCGGTCAGTAAACACCCTTTCGAGATTTGGTATTGCGCCTTTTGCCTTTAGGTGATCGATTTCGCTGAACACTCGTCGTCCTCATGTGGCGTATATAACGCGCTTCGTCCCGTGGGTATGTTTAGGGGTTTCTTTCGTCCCAAATCATCTGTCTCCTCTTCATACACAATACCGACTCGAACCTTGCTACCCGCAAGTCTCAGTCGGCATCTTGCAGATTACATCAGATACCCCGTCAGTCATAATCTACCGTTTCGGGTCCTTATTTCTCAACTTACGCCACAACATCAGAACCATCACCGAGGTCTCACATTCCTTCCACCGGGCTCTTCCCGTACAAGATACATTACTCTTCCTTCGAGCCTCCTTGGAAGTCATCCCTAACCTCTTCCGCAGGTCTTCAAGCCTCGAAATACAAGCTTTCTGTCTCCCAGCGAACCAGTTTTACCTTGGTTTACGCGACGCAAAAAGCAAGCCAACCACACACGCACTCAAGTCTCAAGATGCCTGAGGAAGTCATCACCAGTAGCGGAAACTACACCTTTACCGGTAGTGGTACGTCCAGCTCTTCTGGCTACACCAACTCATCCTCCTCTGGCTCATCCGGCTGTGGCTCAGGCGGCAGTGATGGCTGGAGACCCCGCAGCTACGTCCCTCTACCCATCTCCGATGGTAGCGCTGCTGGCGGCGGTAGCGGCGGCGGCAGATGCATCGACGTGGCCAAAAGAAGGAGATAGACGAATGGAGTGATGGGATACACAAAAACGGGACAGGTGGCAGGAGACTGAATGAGATAAAGATGATCTGACTTATGGCGTTGGAGCATGACTTTTCTTTCTTTCTTTAGCAACACAACATACCCGGCGGCATGCGGTCAGGCGAAGAAGCCTCTTCACTTCATTGGTTAGCTCTCTTTTGTCACCCATTTTCCCTTCAAGCCAGCTCTGTACCAACCCTTCTTGGCGATGACAGACATCAAAAGTCAGGGACTCAGGTTCAGTAACTGCCGTAGAGGCTTTGTTTAGTTACGCATCAGTGATGACTCTTGATGAATGAAGCGTCTTTAAGAACCGCGCAAAGCTCCTCATTCAGTAGCTCCTCTTGAACATATTTGAGCAGCCTTACTTCCACTGATGGAAAGCTCTAAACACAGACTAAACCTAACGTTTGACTAACCACCTAACCTGCCCGAATTGTTGCAACGCGTATCGTATAGATACTTAGTTCCTGTCCCAAATCTAATTCAACAGAATCCCAACATTCTGACGCCAAGCACACCAAACTCGGTCACCTTCAGTCATTCAGCCATATCCGGGTGATGTCGTACATGGCTTTCCCCGATGTCGATTTCTTGTCCATAGCAATTTGATCTATTTGTGTGCTGCGTTTAACCCACGTGGTTCGTAGTACCCTGAAATGGTACTCAGAAATCGGGGAGGGCTGTATACTGTTATTGGGTGGTTCAATGGGTGACTGGCATTGCGGGGAGGCTGACGCGTAGGGTGAGTCGCGATTGTGTTCAAGAGGTACAAGAAGGAAGGTGAGGTGAACTGCATTGGTACAGGCTGCAGTGGCAAGTACAGCACACACACAGCTGGCAAGAGGAATCTGCATCATCGCCGAGCTCGAGGTGCAGCAATTTTCGAGCGGGGGGTCCCATTGCAGATATAGTCTTTGATAATCGTTCACGTCAGTATCTAACAGCATTGATATCACTGCCGAAGATGCCTTGTAAATGCCGTCCGCGCAAGTTAACACGCGACGAGACGGGAGATGGACGGTGCAGATTGGGTGAAGAGTACTCCCGAATACTTGACTGTTACTTCTCTCGAGGCACCAAGTGATGGTGTGTGAGAGCCTCATGTACTGTACCTCTAGGGCCGCGTCGCTGGGAGGATGAATGGCTTCAACGCCATGTTAGTTATCATCATGAAAACATGCGTTACCAATGATGCAAGTTTACCTGTAAATTGGTCTGCGTGCATATTTATCGCTACTCTGCTTATGTCCATGGTTGGTGTTCCCTCATTAAATCACAAAACTGCTGCAAGTTACAAAGCGATGGCTGGTATTGAATGTTGTGGGTGCGCAATCACAAAGGTCGTGGCTCACAAGAATAGAAGGAAACACCAACAATGAACTCGATAGAAGTGGAAGCGTTGTGTGTTGAAACAAGAACAACAGATCCACCAAGCAGGAGCCCGTGGGCTCCCTCTTGCAAGCAAACAGAAGGAACAGAATGGCCTCAACACACCACCATGGTAAGCATCACCAGTACGCCCAGGTCCCCTGTCAAGGAAGGAAGGCACGCCTTCACGTTACCGAGCCTCAAAACACCAGACATCAGTCATCGACGGCTACACTACTTGCCTACCAGCACCAGCACCAGCATCAACACAAGCACTGGCTTCACCACATCTACTAGTTTAAGCACCAGCGTCAGTTTCCACATGAAGACAAGCATGAGCATGAGCATGAGCACAAGCACGAGAATGAAAGCTACCGGACACCAGACCATCATCACCAGCCAAACTACATGGTCCCTGACTCGAGGGATATAGATTAGGTCGACAGACCTTAATTCAACAACAAAACAAAGTGCGGTTGGCGTAGTGGTCAACGCGTTCGCTCAGTAAACTGTTGTCCTAACAGAGCCTACTTGGGTCTGCATAGTCAGTGCCCTTACAGGTGCCAGGGGAGAACATCTGACAGCGAAAGAACCCGGGTTCGAGTCCCGGACCGCACATCTTTTTTTCTGTTTCCTACCCCTTTCCAAATCTCTTTTTTTTTCTTTTTCTGGAGGTGATAGGGAAGGGTGGACAGAGGAGGAGGAAAAGGGGGCAAAAGGTAGTAACTACCTCTAGACTTGACAGATGATAGCTGAACATTCACTGATTGCTTGTCACACTGGCATTAGACTGGGATTTGGGAGAGAACGGCATCTTGAAGAAAGTAAGGTTGGAGAACTTGCTTTCTGAATCCATCAGCGATCCGTGGGTTTGCACAACCTCATGGGAAGGGCATACGCGTGAGTGTCTCTTGACTATGGGCGTCAACATCCTAACCCCGCGCATCGGAATGGCATTCGGTACAATCTATCATCTCTATGAATGCTGAGGAGGAGCTCATGGGCAGCTACTTTTGTGCATAAAGTGTTCTTGTACTGATCCTCGTGGCTCAAAACTGAAGTGTCTTGCCCGTAGCCAGCTGTCTGTAGATGGCCCCACTTTAACCCTGGCGAGGAAAGTGACGGAGGCAGCAACTCGGACAAGACACTCGTTCTTTCCTTCAACACAATGTCACAACACAAAGAGAAATTTCTCGAAAATGAGGGGTTTTGGACGAGTGCTTTGCACAATCACTTTTTATTGTGGCATTTCTAGTCGCGCTCAAGTCGTCATCGCTGAGTGTCTACCCTACCACACAATCGAGTTCTCACAAATGAGAAAAAAAAAAAAAAAAACATCACTACTGCGCCCAGACTTGGCTCATATCCACACAATAACGCTGCAAACGCTTGAGAATGTCTGGAAGTACTCGGCAACGTTGGTTAGTTGGCTTCCAGTTACATACCCGGTGACTGCAACTGCTAGGCTGCCCGGTACTCCCAACCGAATCTTTAATATTCATGTCCTTGCTGACCGTCTTGGCCCAGTTGTCTTGCCCGCATTGTCTTCTGCAATCTATTCGAGCTCATTGACCCTGTCCTTAGCAGCAGAATTCTGGAGCCTCGCGCTCCTTCTCACCGGCGCCTCGGAGGCCGCGGGGCTGGACATAGTCGCTGTCTTGGCCCGCTTTGCTGGTGGCTCACCTTTCGTCGGTTCCTCGCCCGCGCGCTCTGCCAGTGGGGAGATAGCATTGGCCTTCCTCTTTCCATTTCCATTTTCTGTTCCTTTCACTGCCGCCTGTCTCATCTCGTCTCCCTCTGCTTGTGTTCTGCGCTCTGGTTCACTGGCTCCTCTGGTTTCCTCTGCTTTGCTCTTTGATAATGCGGCTTCCAAGCGCAAACCTTCCCCTTTGCTTTCGTGCAGGTTCCGCGACTGCAGGCATGGAGTGTCTTCCTTCTCAAGGGTTTCAGGACCCTTTGCAAACGTTTCTTTCACTACTTGCTCTCTTCTCTCCTCCCCTGTCTTGACATCACCAGAGACATCATCCCCCTTTCCACCCTCTGCATCCCCGACCCTTTCTACATCTAGGGCAGCAAGTTGTAACCGCGGTGGCTTTTCTTTCTGCCCATTTAGAATCTCAAGCGCAGAAGCAGCCACAGAAACAGCAACAAAAGTAGACACAGGAGCAGAGAAGTTCCCATCTACAGAGTGGATATCCGAACCATCCGCTTTGCGCCTCTTGTCTTTGCTGGAAAACGTACCACTGAGATCACCTGGGCCCACAGTTGCTGACAGGAAACTTGGAGGGTGGTAGCCAGCTGAAGAGGCGGAGGCAAAGCCAGTGCTAGTGTCTGTGGTGTTGGCAGCACCAGCAACAGAAGCACACTCAGGTTCCAAAGCACTACTACCGGGGCCGGCGGGTGCTGGAAAAGAACTTGAAGGTTGGATGTGAGGGTCCGCGGAAGGGGCCAAGGGAAAGCCAGAGTAGGAGCTTGAGAGAGATCCAGCACCGGAAACACAAACGGCATGCCCAGAGCCACCACCATAAGGACTAGTAGTGGAAGTAGGCCGACCCCAAAGACTACCAGCCCTGAGCGATTGCTGAGTAGTCTCACCAGCCAGCTGCCTCAACATTTTGGTCGCTGGCCTCCCCGCACCAGGACGGGCGCCGCCTCTCTTGTTGAGTTTCTTTCTTGGTGGTTCTTCTTGTCCTTCTTGTGGCGAATATAACGCCGCATCGCTGGAACGTTTTCTTACTGGCTTTAAAGTGGTGGTGAAGCCGTACGAGGCTGCTACACGCACCTGCTCATGCTCTTCGGGATTAGGTTGGCGCAGGAGTAAGTCATGCGAGTTAATGTCTCTGAACATGGCTGGCACTTTTGGCCTGGTGTTTCTCTGAGGTATGGGAGACGTCGTTGGAGCATTTGGTGGTGCGAATTGGGGTGCGGACTGTGGTGGTGTTTGAGCGAGGGTGCCTTTTACTCGGCTATGATTCTGGTACTGGTCTGGTTCGACAGCAGTTGCCGGGATTTGATGAAAACCAGAGGCTGAAGTTCGGCGGGAATTTGAAAGCTTTATCTTCAAAGCAGTAGTCAGATCAATTTCGACGCGGGGATTGGGGACCGCATATTGAGTGTTGCTGCCGACAATCTGGTGGAAGTTGGGCTTGCTGAAAGTGGGACTAGACTCCGTCGCCACTACCGTCTCGATACTGCCATTGTCAGACAAAGCGTTGCCCAGCACGGGCTCGGCGGCGACAGGCGAAAATACAGGCGGCGACAAGACTATGTCTCTGACGGGATCATAGAAGGTGCCCCTCATTTCCCTGCTCTGTGTCTCTTGTGCTGTCGGTTGCTGACGTGGAGGAGCTGTAGCCGAGCTACCCCCATCAATGAAGTGACGTGAGGCTAGTTCGGCTCTCTCTTGGAAAGACAGTGAGCCACGCAGGTGGCTGGTTTGCTGCTCAGGCAAGTTTTCTACCAACGGGTTGCTACCCTGGAGCCCTGCGGGAGCCGCCTGTGCTCGTCTGTTGCTTGTACCTGCTGCGAACCTTGAGCTCGGCGGGAGATGGTTGCTTGGGGGTCCTTGGTACACGCCGCGCATCGTGAATTAAGCAAGGTTCTTCGCGTGGGCGGATGATTGTTGGTGCCTGTTCAAAGGTTTTGCCGTTTACGACTGTTGATAAATGTTAGCGAAGGTTATATGTACCAAGATTGAGGTAGGCGACGGGCACGATTCAACGTACTGAATACAAGGTGAAAGATGGAACGCTTGTGCCCACAAAGGTGAAGACGATCTGACTCGCGGTAGCCCTAACAACCTCAAGATACACGCTACTCTTCTTGTCCGATGGCAGAATAAAAGATACCGGAGGAGGTAGAGGGTTGTGGTTGAGTGTTGTGAGCAGACGAAAGATGCAGCGATCGAACCAAGGAAGGTAAACAGGTTGTGGCTTGGGATCGCACTGACAGCCTGAAGTTCCGCGTTACTAAAGTTTGCACTGGAATAGCGGGAAACGCGAGAAGAGTCGAGTATTTGAAAGTCTAGGTACGTTTGAAGATGTGCGGGCAGTGAAGTAGGGCAAAAGAACAGATGAAATATTCGCAAGCCCTTTGATTTGACCGAGTGCATGACGAATATTCTTGCGGCAGCGGGCATATTCAATACTTTTACCTGCCTAGTACTTGCAGATATAATAAGTACCTCTAAGCAGTACGAGCAGGAGCAGCAATGGACAAGCTTCGCATTGCAGATAATAACACATCACAGACAGGAGGTGTCTACCGGAGCCGCAGGTACCTTGGCTAGTTACATATCAGCTGGTCTTCATCCTCGATGAGCAAGAGGCAGCTAGTAATTGAACTCGGAAATCTTCCTATTTTGGCCAAAAAGAGAAGTGCAAGGAGCGTATTGTCCACCTAGCAAGACAAAGGGCACTTTGTTGGAAATAGAAAGACTGCAAAAGGGCGACTTGGTTATTGTCCAGAGAGGAGCATAGCAGACGGAGGTCGTGCAAGATATGTTTCCAGAGGACAACTCTGTTTGAGTCCGACTTGAGATGAAAGTGATGTCTGCTATCAGAGGTAGATAGGTATGAACGTTATACATTTTGCTCAAGGTCCTTCAAGGTTCAATAGACGACAATAGCCTTAGTTCAGGATCGGATACATGTATTCCACTTGGATCAACCTGCCAAGGTCGTGGACCCTTGAGTGTGACTTGCCTAACTATGGACCGTTGTATAGGCTTTCGAGCTTATTTTGACAACTCTGTGGAGGTACACATCATGAACCAGGTATAGCAATTTCGGAAAGGACGATAGGTGTTTCTCTTGATACTTTATACATTATACCGATTGACGATATCTACGTACACTGTACCACTACGATGTAGCACTCATTCCAACGATCACTATCTCGACGGTGATAATATCGATGATAGCAGCCACCAGACTTGAACAACCTCGGTCAAGATTGCGATTCATATGCCTATGAAACATTAGGTTATTGATGTTCATCATGGGTTTTCCATACCTCTAGGCACTAATTTAACGCAACTTTGAGTTATCAAGACAGCCATTCACATGATTTATGCAGGACAAAAACTTGGAAGATTCAAGCAAAACCAAGCATGTCATGTGCCCCTCCTTAGGTACGTCCTTCAAGCGGGCACGCACCCAAACAAACCAATTCCATGCATACAGGTGCATACAGACATACCTACTTGTTCCCGAAAGAGCGGCTCAGGCGCTCAGGTCAAGCCGCCCTGACATCTCGGGCGTTTTCGAACAGTCTTGGCCTCTTATCCTCCTCCTTAGATTTTGGCCTCTCAGCTGGCCAACCCAGGCCAACCAACCAGCACGCCGCGCATCACCCGTTCCCATCACACCTATCAATCACTTGCCATGTAAACCCATCTCAAAGTTTGAGAACCAGTCACACGTCACCATCTTTGTCCAAATTCTTGAGATCAGTTCAACATCACTCATATGTCTGTATGCGCCAGGCCCAATCCAAAGTGACGTTTGCAATTGTTCCAGGATTACCCCGGAGGAACACACCCCGTGTTTCAGCCTTCCCGGTCTCGAAGCTCTCGATCGAAGCTAAGATAGGTACTGGACGGGAGACGCGCGCGATTGATACACTTTGTATATGGCGCCTTGTATATAATGCGGCCTCCCAACCCAACTCCATCTTGAACGTTGGTTCTCGTTTATGTCTTGGTCGAATATTGTAGGCTTGCATCATTTTCCTCCCCGGAATGAACGACCATTCAATTTCTTACTCCATCAACGACAACATCACCACAACAGCTATTACTCAATAATCAACCACATGTCACTTTGCCCATTCCCTGCAAACAGTAGCTGATCAACGGGTTAGTGATATTACCTCAAACTCCAGTCACCAAACCCAGCCGAAGCAGACACCACAAAACCACAAGACGAGCCTACAAGGAACTTAGCAAAACGACAATGATACTCAAGACCCTCTTCAAAAAAGACCGTCGCCCTTTCTCCTTCGCCTCTAAATCAACCTCCGCCTCCGCCTCCACCTCCGCCTCCGCCTCCCCATCAACTTCTTCAAGCGCCTCTCCTTCGTTATTCCGCAGAATGTCCATCAAAATCCAAGAAAAGCTTCCGTCAAAGGGCGTCCAAGTATCCGCCTACATCTCTCCCACCGTCGCCTCGTGGGGAACATGCAGCATCACTTTAACCGTGCCCGGCGAAACCGTCGTCTTCCAATCCAGTAGTCCCCCTACTTCTTCTTCTTCTTCTTCATCAGCAGCGTCCAGTCAGCAGCAGCAGCAGCAGCAATTCTTCTCCCGCGCCATCGAAGTGGAAGCCCGCAACATCCCCTCTCTCTTTGACAAAAAGGGTCGTTTTTCGTTCCGCGTCAATTTAGCCCTGGGCCAAGACAGCAGCAACAACAGCAACAAGAACATGTTAATAACAGAGCAATGGATCGACGTCAATGCCATTACCGGTTTCGCCACGGGGGGAACCATGGACAGTATCGCTTCGACGCCGTCGATTTTTTCGTGGGTAGATCCTGAGGGTACCACACCCAGACGGAGGAGAGAAGTGGTGGTGACGTATGGATTCTACGAATCCGGCCCCGCAGGGCAGGATATCTTGCCGAAACGACACCAGTGCTACATCACCGTTTCCTCCGCCGGCAGTCGATGGATGGAAGACCTGATTCCCCCTGGATCATGGCAGGCCAATCGAAGATTCCGAAGACTGGTGCTGCCCAGCGCGCACGACGCGGGCATGAACAGCATGGCGAGCAGCTCCAAGTTGCTCAGCAAGTTGGGCGGTGCGGTGGTGGGCACCTTGGTGCACGATAACCGAATCATGACGGAGATTGCAGACACGCTTTCGGGACCGGCGATAGCGCTGATTGCGCCGAATATCATCTTTAGTCTGGCCATGACGCAGAAAGATAGCTTGGATGCCATGTTACGGATTGGAGCCAGGTACTTTGAGTTTCGCCCGGCGTACTGTCATGCGGCGGTGAGGTCGGCGATGCAGAGAGGGAAGGATGGTCTACCCGACAAGTTGTATTTCCAGCATGGCGCAATCCCAGGCATGGGGTATGATGTGTTTTTGGCGGATGTGGTAGCCTTCTTGCTGGCGCATCAGGAGGAAATTGTGGTGGTGCAGCTGAGGTGGGATGGCGTGCCGAATGAGTGTGTGAGGCCGTCGGATCAGGATAAGAGAGAGTACCTTGACCAAGCGTTGAAGATGGCGGGTGATCGGATAGTGACTGGGAACGAGAATGACCTGAGACACGCGACGATTGCACAGCTGAGGAGGGATAAGAAGAGACTGATCATGATGGAGAACGTGGATAGCTTGTCGACGTATACGGATGAAGGAAATGCCACGATGGATGGTCAGAGCATTGTGGATGCCTTCCCGAAGGTGCTCACCGAGGATAACTGGAGAGGCAAGGCTTTCATCAACATCCAGTGTCAGGCCACGGCGACGAACATTCCGAAGGCCGTGGCGTATTCAGTTTTGGATGCGGGGACAACGTCGAGCTGTATTCTAGCGACGAAGGCAACCTGTGATTCCAAAACGTTGCCGTGGTGTAGGGATAACGTTCTGAGGACGTGTGGGTACGACACGCTTGTCGTTATGATGAACGATTTTATTGACGGAGCAACGGCGGATGTTGCATTCCAACTCAGCAAACAGAGACTGATGGCATGATTCCAATGGCGTTGTTTAAGGGTAGAGGATCATCAGCAAATTGTGTTTGTTGCAGCGACATTTCGAACCGGACGGGTGAATCACAGGTTGATGTGAACTGTCGGGCTGCTACGATGAGCCTCGACTCGATCATCAGCAGTTGCTTATCTAAATATGAATCTCCTCGTTCTGCAGAGAGTCCACAGGGTAAGGTGACGGCGTAGACTATGGGCGTTGATCATTTACCCACGACTTTGCCACCCACCGAGTGCAAACTGCTCTCTATCACGTACTGTTGATAGTCCTTCCCTGCACGTCTTGACGATCTTCACGGCCAATCTTTATTAAGAATGAGAGCAGAAAAGGGTAGGTTGTTGATATTCTCGCCTTACAGTCCTCCGATCATAGAGCAAAAATGGTAGAGCTCAGCAGGAATCGAGAAGTTCACAAGCATGGGGAGACGAGTGTAAGATGAGCGACGCATGCTTTAGGGACGGTATCACCACTTCCCGTTGCACACCATGAGGTAAGACGGGGAGAAGACAATTCTTTGAGACTGGTCAACAAAGGAAAATGGGCCGATTCAAAACCTAGAAGTCATAGTGTTTTTTTTTTTTTTTTTTTTTTTTTTTTTTTTTTGAGTTAGACTCCGTCAGGAGAGACGCCAGACTGCAACATCGTCATGGTGATCTTGATATCCAACACATGAGGTAGCCATGGGTTACCCAGCAAGGCTGCAGCAGCAACTTGAAGCGCGTGAAGGATCGTCTTGTGTCACATATAAACTGCTTTTGCACACTGTAGAAGCGGATAAAGTCGAGTCATGCACGTGTATCACTGGATACAGTTTGGTAAGTGATTCCACATCAATTTCAGATGGGACGGAAGCTGCTTCAAAATCTGAACT